TGAGGATCCCAAATTTTTTTTTTTTTAAATGTCTTTAACATATCAAATGTACATTTAATAAAGCAAAGAGTCGAGCAACGACATGCATTCGGTAAAGAGTGACGATTAGGGGAGAGAATTTGCCGCCAACATCGATCATTTAATCAACCATTCATACCTTTTGTTGGGTTGGTGTCGCGGAGGCTCGAATCTCCTTGTTAATCGATATTTGTCATGCCATATTAAACATTGTTTGCGTTTTGTATCATGTTAAAGATTGTAGATTTTGAAGTATATATGCATAGACCCGTTTCAACTTTTTAAAGAGCCGTGATAAAAAAATTTTAAAAAGAATATTTTTGGACCTTTTTCCATAGATTTTTTAAAAAATCGGCATGGACTCTTTCCGCCACCCCTAAAGTCTGGCATGTATATATGCAGTACCGTGCCAAGACTTCTAGAGGCTCGATGCGAATTAAAAAATGGGATCTTTTTTAACGGTATTTCTAAACCATGTTTTTCCTAAAACGTTTAAATAAAGTCTAAAATCAACAAAAAAAAAAACTAAAACCTTAACAAGAAAATAAATCTGACATTTTTTTTCTTTTCTATTAACTTTTTGACCAAACTCTTATAAACTATTTCTTGAATTAATATCTCTTTCTATAAATATGACTAATATTTGAGAATTAAAAACTCCAAAATTTATATATTATTTGGAGCTCCGAGGCGAATGTGTTTTTCCTAACATCCATGTATATATGCAATCCCAATCACGAAGAGTAAGGTAGATTTTGTTGCCTATATTTGCCATAATGACCAGCGGAAGCTGCAATCGAAGTAAATAAAGATAGATACAAAAATCGTGAAAGATTTGTCGGTCGACTTGTGTATTTGGGAGTTGCACTTTTAGATATTTTGTTGTATTATTATATATAATGATTACTGATATAAAAATGGGTTCTAAACCACATAAATTATGTTCTTCACGTGATCGTTTACGTAGTATGATTTCGATTGTGTGATGTGAGATTGCCTTTGACCCCGACTCTCTTTTGTATCGTTCAACAAAGAACCAAGTAAGTGAAATAACACATTTAACCTAATTGGTACTCATTTATTACCTCTTTAACAAACATAATAACTATGTCACTATGTGGACCAATGTGATCACGATGATATTCAAATGTTTTTGAATAATATATTATGAAAGTAAATATTAGTAAATGATCTCATCACACAACTATTCGGATATTGTATCCTTTGCAAATTTCTAGGCTCGAAATCTCTGCAAACAAAAAAATCATACTAAATAAAACAATCTCACCCGTTTTTTTATTTTAAATAAATTAATATTGGACTCGGATTAACATTCCCATAAATGTTAATCCTCAAC